GTCCTGGAACTTGCTTTGTAGACCAGGCTGGCCTCAAACTCACAAAGATCCATCTGGTTCTGCCTCCTGAGTGCTGGGATTAAAGGTGTGCACATCCTCAGCTGGCTAAATGAGTGTTATTGATAAATATCACCAATAACTATCTATCATGGATGGCAAATCCATTTCCTTCTTTCCAGTATTAAGTTCAGAGGGAACTTTGGACTTTTACCCTTTCAACTCAGACTTACATATTTTTCTAGGCATCATTGCTTATCAATTCCTACTAACTATAAACATAACCATGAAAAATATGACTTCTTGCTTCTTCTGGCTCCTCTGGGGTGATCAAATTCCAGGTTTATGTCTGGGTTGCTATTTAGAACAATTAAATTGAAGGTCTCAGGAAGTCCTTAGCACTTGCACATTGGGATGGCTTTCAGCTTTCTCAGTTCCAGAATACCTCTGCTGATTGGATATGGTAGTAGGGAGAGGCTGGAAGACTGGGCGCTATATGAGACTCTGTCTTAGACAACAACAACAGAAAAAGCAAAGCAAAAGAAAACAAACAAAAAACAACAAAAACAAAAACAAAAAAGAAAACCAAACCAAACCAATCCATTGAGCATTTCTGCGAACCCAAAATTTAGATAGGAATACACCTTATATTCTCAACATAAGTTATCCCTCAGTTTAGTTGGCCCCACTTTAGTGCTTGTGCTCCAGCTTCCCTCTGAAAGCAGGTGACTGAGCCCCAGGTGTAACCCCAGCTCTCTTATTTCACAGTTACCAGAAGACACCAACAAGATAATACTGCCTGCAAGCTTATCACTTTGCAAGTGACTACTTTAACCCTACCAACAAAGCAAATGGAGATTTCTAGGAACAGATAAAAACCCATATGCAATCTGTCATTGTTTAGTTTTCACTGACAAGATTATTTGACAAAGTTAATGAATAGCAGGCTAGGAAGGGAGGAGAGAGTATAGTTGCATTGGAGAGAGGAAGTCAAATGCAGTCCCTAATTCACAGACAGACTACATGAGGAGAAACTGTCCTTGGTGGGCAGCCTTCACTTCTTGCGGGAACCTGGTTGTAGGTTGAGCCACAAAATACTTTTGTGAATGGCCTTATATCTGGTGCTCTAACTAAGGCCTGCTCAGGCTACTAACTATTCATCAGCGAACCTTCATTTTTAGAATATTATGTTTCATGATCAAATATTGATATAGACATATACAGGATGGGTTATATCTTCTGTATGGCGCATTCACACATTATGTGTTATATCATTTCTTCTATTTGTTAGGAAGCTAGGCAGACATTAGCAAGCTTGGAGGCTACTGAACATGGGGGTCCCTCCATCACAATCAACTTTTCCTTTCTTCAATATACCTCAAGACCCAGCTTGGGTCTTGGGCATATATTCAAAGAATGTTCTTTAAGGTTTAAAATACCATATGTAAAGGTGGAGGTATCACACCTTTGTTAAGGCCCATTAAGGGAAAGCTACTTCCTCTTGTTAAAGGAGTGGATTCTGATTCTACTTCTGGCCTTAAATGGAGAAACAATATTCTGATTTGCCTCAAATGAGAATAGTACATGTTGTCCCTTAACTTAAAAGTTTCATCACAGCATTTGGGAGGGTAGAGGCAGAAAGATCTCTGTGAATTGGATGGCAGCCTGGTCTACAAAGTGAATCCCAGTATATAGTGATACCGTGTCTCAAAAAAGAAGACTTACAGGCTTCTGGATGGGTAGAATACATTTGTGAAAATGGCTATACTACCAAAGTTAATTTGTAGATTTCATGAAACACCTTTAAAAATTCCGATATATTTCACAGGTTTAGAAAAAAATACAATAAATCATATGGAACCAAAAAAGACCTCAGAAAGTCAAAGTAATCATAAGGAGTAAGAGAAATGCTGGAGGTATTACAATACTTGATCTCAAAGTTTCTTAAAGAGTTACAGTCTTAGAGTCATGAAGACAGCCTGGTATTGGCATAAGATACCAATGGAATCAAATAAGATCCAGAAATAAAATGACAAAGCTATGCCACTTAATTTTTGACAAAGGAAGCAAAAACATACATTGGGGAAAAGAGCCCATTCAACAAATATAATGGCAATCCTGGATTTCTGCCTGCAGAAGACAGACATTAGATTCTTGTCTTCCACCTTGTACAGAAATCAATTCAAAATGGATCAACAACATAAATTTAAAACCTGAAATATTGACACTTATAGAAGAAAGCACGGGGGTACTGGTCAAGATATTGGGATAGGCAAGAACTTTTTGAAAAGAAGATCAATAGCACAGGAACTAACACTATGCTTCAACAGATGGAACTACTGAAAATAAAAAGTTTCTTTATGGCAAAGGAAATGATCAGCAGAGTTCACAGACAGCCCACAGAATGGGAGAAAATCTTATCCAGTTGTACTTCAAAGGACTACTATTCAGAATTTACAGAGAAATGAAATTAAACACCAAGGAAATAAATTTGTCAGTCACCAAATTCACTAACCATAGTCATCAGGAAAATAAAATTAGAAATAATTAAATAAAATTTAAATAAGAAGTAAAAATTACTACTTTGAGATACCACCATGAGATGCCACCAGTCAGAGTGGCTATAATCAATGAATCTGACATCAAATATTGGAGAAGATGTGAAGAGAAAAGAACCTTCATTCACTGGTGGGGGTGGGTGAAAATCAATACAGCCATTGTGGAAATCAATTTAGAGAGTTTTCAAAAAATTAAAACTACAACTACCATATGACCCTGATAATCCTCTCCTGGGCTTGTACACAGAGAACTCCATACCCCATCATAGAGATATTTGCATCCCTGTGTTTATTATTTCTTTATTCACTATAGTAAATAATTAGAATCAGCCTAACTGTCCATCAGCATAAGAATAGATAATGAAAATTTGGCATGCATAAAAGGTGGAATACTATTCAACCATAAAGAAAAATAAAATCACAAAATTTGTAGAAAAATGGATGCAATTAGGATGTATTAAGTGAGGTCACACAATCTCAGAAAAAACTCTGCATGTTTCCCCTCATATGCAGAATGTACCTAACAATATATGTATATATGTGAACAAATGTACATGTAAGTGTAGTATAACATGTAGAAAAGGGAACAAGAAAGGTTAACTATTAGGTGATGAGGATGGACTGAATGTAAGTAATGGATATGACTGAAAGGGGATATAAATCAAATTCTTCTTTTAGTTCTAATGATATCATTTTTTTTTTGTTTTTTGTTGGTGGACAAGTGAATAAAAATATATTTGATAGTGAAAGCCTAAAATCCAATGTGAAGTTCCACAGCATCTGTTCTGAATGCTATTCTAACGTATAGAAATTCATTAAGCTGTATAGTCTTTGTGTCTGGTTAATTTCAGTGTTTATCTTGCAATCTTTTTTGAAATAATAAAGTTTAAAATAAAAAAATAAGTCAGTTAATCCAATAAGGATTAATCCTGGGAAGGCTGATGCGCCTGTAGACCCTAAATCAAAAGGCATGGCTTTCTTGTTTCCTTTTATTCATCACCTTCCTCCCACCAAATTGCCAAGATTTGTAGCTTCCTTTCCCTGTTGTCATTCAAACTTTAATAAAATGCCCTTTAAGATTCCTTCTGAGTCCATTTAGAAATTCTATTATTAAAGAGACTAAGGATTCACAAAATGGAATCCCTATTGCTGACACATTGAAGTCTGAGTATTTATGATATGAACTATTCAAGTATACACATGTTGGCCCTTATACCATTAGGTCTTTGAGTGCAGAAGACCTATCCTTAAGATTCCTTTCTACAGAGCAACTGTACAGGACAAACCTAGATACTCAATAAGGGGTAATTAAATTATCCTGACCTGATTGGTACAATCAGAGGACACTTCAAACTAACCAAAATGTAAAAGATTTGTTAATTTATGTATCTGTATGTCTATGTATGCCGTGTGAATGCAGGTACCCACAGAAGCCGGAGGAGGAGGATGGGCCTTTTGAAGCTGGAGCTGTGAGCCACCTGTTGTGGGTGCTGGGGTCTGAATACAGGTTCTCCAGAAGATCATAATCAAATGGTCTTAACCACTGAGCAGTATCTCCATACCTTCGAGCTAACTAATTTTATTTTGGAGCTCAGTTTCTTCTTCTGTAAAATGGGGATTGTAACTGTATCTATTTCTTGGGGTTGTTGGGAGAGTAGAGATTGAATGAAAAAATGAAAATGGCAGTTATATAGGGATCTGGCTCAGAGAGGGAAGTGGAAGCCCAGCCTCGGGGAGGGAGAGGTTTAGGGCAGGGGCGGGGTAAGGAGTGCTGGGTGGAGTCACAGGTAATGAATGAAGACTTGTTCGGGGTTTGAGACCTAACAGAGACAGCACGCATAAATTGTCTACATCATCATCCAGCACTTGTTCAGTCCTAAACTGATAGACACTAATCTGACGATATTAATTTGTGCCTGCTGCTGGGAAAATACCACATTTCTTACGTAAATCTGTGGGTATTTAATTCGGTCTGTAGAGGCACACTGGTCCGTCGTTAATATTGAAGCGGGGAAACAATATTTAGCATCTCATAGCTATCTTCTTTATTTTTCTCCTGTAAAAATCCCGAGCAGGGAGGTTTTGAGGGATTGTTTTTGAGCAACTGCCGTCGAGTTAAAGAACAGGGCTTTAGATTAAGAAATAGAACTGGGACTTTAGCCACCCTTTCAGACACACTACTTCATTCGGAAAACGTTTAAAGCTCAAACAACGCCTTATCCGGAAGCTGAAGGCCCCTTAACGTCCAGGATCCCGCCCCTGGTCTACATCACAAAAGGAAGCAGTGACTAACAAGGGAGCTATTTCTCCCCAAGGAGCAAAGGGTACGAAGCACTTCCACGCTACTGCGCAGGTGCGAAGTCTTCCAGCGCCGGAACGGAAGTCCCGCCTCGGAAGTCCCGCCTCGAATTCTGCCGGCTGCAATCTGAGCTGTGTCGTCGGGTTGTGAACGCCCTTCGTAGCCTTACCCGGAAGATGATGACTTGAGGGAGAAGCGGGAAGGCGCGAATATGAAGTAAGCGTTTGGCGTTTCCGAGGAAGGGGGAGTGGGTTGCGGATGGCGGCCCACAAACGGTGACAGGTCTTTGCCGGGGTGGTAGGGCCTTCCGGCCTCGGGGCGGGAGAAGAAACCGTCTGTGAGGAAACGAACTTTTACCTAAGTCTTTCCCTCCTCCCGCGCAGCCCTTTAACTAAGGTGAAGCTGATCAACGAACTGAATGAGCGAGAGGTTCAACTTGGGGTGGCAGAAAAGGTGTCTTGGCACTCGGAATACAAGGACAGCGCCTGGATCTTTCTTGGTGAGGGCCACAGTTTTCTGTCGCAGTGCCTTTCCGAGTCGCAGCGTCCCCCCCCCCCCAGTTACTTAGAGACCCCGCCGACCACGCTCGTCACCCACACTCTTGTAGCTTGTTTGCCCACAGCCCGCTTTTGATTTCGTTTTTACACTCGTCCGTTTTCAGTTGCCTTCTCTGAGAGCCAGTGCTTCTTGGTATTTACCATTCATTGCACTTAAAATAATCCCACTTGGCTGCTCAGAGACAGTTAACTGCACAAACAACCCATTACCACGCCAAAGAAACTGAGGTGCAGACAGGTTAATAGACTTCCTTTAAGACCTCATACTGCAGCACTGAAATCTATGAGGTTATTGGTTATTATTTCAGTTTTACTGTCTGCCCTTCCTCAAAATTATTTTCTCCCATGATTGACTTTTGCTTTTAGTACGCTTCTGATTGGTAGGTACCAGGACAAACAGTAGCCAGCCTGCTTATTTCAATTCTAAAGGCTAAGTTAGCAGTTCCCCTGCAGCTGTTTCTTAGCTTCCATTTCTGAGCATGCCTGCCTGCTTGGCCTTCTAATTCAATAGGCATGGCTACATATTTTTTCGTCTTACCCATCTCCCTCCTCCCAGTACCTGGGAAAAATTACTAACAAGACTAGGAGCCTATGAAGGGGAATGCTTATGTCTCTGGTAACAGTATTACTACCCTGTGTTCACTTTATGTCACAACCAATAATTCTACAGTTAGACTTTTGAAAGATGCTATTTCACTAGATGTTGTGTTAAGCACTTTATATGCACAGTTTTCTTTTGTACCTATAACATTGTTGTGAGGCAAATAGACTGATAACCCCTGTTTACACATGAGGGAAAATACATGGAGGGGAAATTAGTTCCTGTGACTTGCTTAATGTTTTTTTTTTTTAAACTCTTAGTTTACACATAGGTGAGCATAACAATATCGTATTTGAATCCAATGTTTGTGAAATCTGAGTCTTGTGCAGGAAATTATCTGCTTTATAGGATATTGGATGTGAGGACCATAAGATTAAATCGTTATATGGTAACCCCTTTCCACTCAGAATTAATCACTTTTATTCCTTTTTTTTTTTTTTTTTTTTTTTTTTTTGAGACAGTCTCATTATGTAGCTCTAGCCCTGGAAAATACTATGTAGACCAGGCTTGCCTCAAACTCACGGAGATCCAAGAGTTAATTACTTTTTTTGCTGGTCTGTTGTCACCTTTCCCATTCTGTCATTGCATTGATTTTTTTGTGAGCTCAGGGCTTAGTGACCCTGTACCTCCAGTGTCTGGCCTAGTGCATTGTATGTGGTAAACACTTGATGAATGTTTGCTTTGTTTTCCTTTAGGAGGGCTTCCTTATGAACTGACAGAAGGAGACATCATCTGTGTGTTCTCACAGTAAGTCCTCTTTCATTTCCTACCTTCTGCGTGTATAGAGCAGTTTGCTTCTGCAACGCCAAAAAGGCATTTAAATCTGGGTGTGGGGCTGTACACCTCTAATGCCAGTTGAAGAGACTGTGAGGTAAGAGCATTGCCATGAGTTTGAGGCCAGCCTAGGCTACATTATGTATTCCAGGTCAGCCTGCACTACAGAGTGAGTCCCTGTCTCAAAAAGCCACTAAAGCCAGTTTAATTCTAGTCTGAATGACATCCCTGTGTGAGGAAGGCTAGAATTTTGATCAGTCCCAGGCTAGATAAGGTTCCAGAACATTAGCACATGGGAAATCCCAGAGCTTGGATCATTTGAAAAGTTTTCTGAGGGATCCTACTCCATTTCTGTCAAGTTTTTACTGAAACTTTTTCAGCATGAGCTTGCATGGGAACAAACTGGAATTCCCAGGAATGTACAGTGTTGACCTCTCTATTTGGGTTCCTGTAAACTAGGGTTAGGGTGCATATGTATGTAATCATATAACTTGTAATATATGTACACATATAACATATCAATTTCAGACTTATTTTCTGACTCATAAAGCTTTATTTGGAATTGGTTTTATAAGAAGTAATATAGATTCCATTTTTTAATTCAATTTCTGCTTTGATCCTTAGTATAGTCTGTCTTTATTAGGTTTGTTTTAGTTCATATTCATGCTTTTAAAAGAATCAGATTCTTCAAGGTTACAGATTTTCCTGAGTAGCTGGCTTAGCTACATCCTATAAATTTACATGGTATTTCAAAATTTGTTATTAGTTTCTAAGTGATATACCATTGGCATTTTAAATTTTGTTTTATTTTTCTTTCATCCATCTGTTAGCTAAGAGAATAATTTTCAAGTTCTGGTTACCTGGAGGTTTTCTTTTAATATTTTCAAAATTTTTATGTGTATGGATCTTTTGCTTGTATGTTTGCCAGCACTATGTGAGTGTCCAGGCACAGAAGAGGACACCGGATTCTTTGGAACTGGAGTTACTGATGGTTGTGAGCCTCCGAGCGAGTGTTAGGAAGTGAACCTGGGTCCTTTAGAAGAGCAAAAGCAAACAATACTCTTAACCACTGAGTCATCTCTCTAGCTCCAGAAGCAGGCTTTTTAAAAATATTATTTCTAGTTTTAACACATTGATTGGTGAATATATTTTTAGAGTTTATTTTTAATTGATCTTTAAAAAGATATTTTTTAGTTATGTTTGTATGTCTCTCTCTCTCTCTGTGTGTGTGTGTGTGTGTGTGTGTATGTATGTATGTACGAGTATGTGCATGTGTGAACTCAATGCTTGTGAGAGGCTTCAGATTCCCCTGAAGATACAAAGGTTGTGAGACACCTGGCTTGAATGCTGGGAACTAAATTTGGGTTTTCTGTGAGAGCAGTAGGTGCTCTTGACTTCTGAGCTGTCTTTTTAACAAGAAACTTTAGTGTTTATTGATATTTATTTTGAGACCTTACCAATAGTGAATTTAATTTGTTTTATGAATTCTTGAAAATAATTGATCTCATTATGTACTTCAAAAATACCTGTATGTCTAAAAGTTTGACATTAGTGGATATTAGCAATTATCTTTATTTCTGTTTCCTTTATAGTATTTGATATTAATTCATCTGCTCATTCCTTTCAACTAGTTTTGTGGGGGAAATTTACAGCCAAATTTATTTTGTTCTTAGATTCACAGGATTTCCTCTCAGTGCAAACATATCCATAGGACTGGACGAGTACTCAATATTTTCTTAATGAAATAACTTGTTTGATCAAAATAGGCTTCTTGGAGCCAGGTTGTTTTAGCAGACATAGACAATTTTATGTCACTGACATGTGAGTTTTGTTTTATCAGATTTTTTTGTTTTTGTGATAATATTTTTTATTTAAATTTGAAAAAAGCTTGTTTTTCATGTCAATTCCAGTTCCCTCACCCTCCCCTCTCCCCCTGTCCCACTCCCAACCCCCATCCCATCCTCTTTCTGCTCCTAGGCCCTGCTCCAAATGATATTACAGACTTTGAAGATCCCCCATGGAAGGCCTTGTCCTCCCTGGGGAGCAGAAAGGGGATACACACACACACACACACACACACACACACACACACACACACACACACACACACATATATATATTTTGGGGGGCGTGGTTTGAGACAGGGATTGTCTGTGTGTTCTGGAAGTAGCTCATTAGACCAGGCTGACCTTGAACTCCCAGAGATCCACCTGCCTCTGCCTCTTGAGTGCTGGGACTAAAGACTTGCACAACCACTGCCCAGAGGCCTTGTTGTATTCTTATTTAACTTTTTTTGTTTTCAACTTAACTGTGTCATCTTGTTATATTTCTCCTATACTGACTATTTGAATTGGTTAGTCAGTATGAAAATTTTTGCATTTTGAATGAATAATATATTTTATAAACTAAACAGATATGGGGAGATTGTCAACATTAATCTTGTGAGAGACAAGAAGACTGGCAAGTCCAAAGGATTCTGTTTCCTGTGTTATGAAGATCAGAGGAGCACAATTCTGGCTGTTGACAATTTCAACGGAATTAAGGTGACTGTGCTTACTATGCAGGATTTGACTGGACTTTTCCTGTGTATGGGTTAAGCTTCATTTTTTTTTTTTTTTTTTTTTTTTTTTTTTTTTGCTGTTTACAGGTGCAGGAATAGTACTGGTCAGCTGGATGTATTGTGGGGGTTGTAGAGGTGCCTAGACACACTGGATAGGGAATGATTCCAGGAAACCATTTTCTGGCTCATGCATCTGCCAGGAGTTATTCCTTTTCCGTATGTGTTAGCAAACTGTCGTGCCAGAAACATGGGTACTGTGCCCCTTATCTGGGGGATGTTTTTCTTATACACATTTTCCATCTGTTCTAGTGCATTAGAGACTAGAAACACTGCTCTTGGATATTGTGCTGTGCTAGGGAACCAGGGGCTTCACCATGGTTTTGTAAGTAAAAACAGAGCCATGTATATCTAGCATATGATTCCAGTGACTTAACATATTTGCCTCCTGGAAATTCTTTAGTTAAAAACTGGTGACTAATACTATAAAATAAGTTATTTTGAAATTTTAAAGGATTGGTTTTCAGAAGAAGTCACCATCAAAGGAAAATTGCTTTTTAAAATTTTTTTATCAAAATGATAAATAGACATAATCTTCTCACACTTAAAGGTACATATAAAAATGTATTCTAGAAATGAAACAGTAAAATTGAAATTCAGGGTTCAGATGCTATTACCTTTATAGAAGTGTATCTGTTTGAAAATAGACTGTTTATAAAACATGGGGTTCATTTTATTGTTCACCTCCGTAGCTCTAGCTTATAGATAATAATCAGTGGGAACTGAAAGGTCCTGTTTGGCAGGAGTAGAGAAAGGTATGATAGCTCAAGCAAAAGGAAGTAAAACTAGGAATATCGCTCAGTGAGAGAGTGCTTCCCTATGAGACCCTTAATTCAATACCACCACAGCAAAAACATTTTGTTCCCTTGGTCTTATTTTGCCTCCTGATTAGTTTGTTGAAAAAGCAGCTTTAGCATTAGATTTCATGCTTCTGACCCTCATGTTTTTCTAGGACATGTTGTTTTCTTATTAAATGTTGTGTATAACTTTGTATGTATGTGCACATATTCATGTGTGTGCATGTATAGTTGGAGGCCAGAGAACAGCTTTGGCATCATTCATCAAGATCTGTCTGCTTTTACTTCTTCATTTTTATTTATTTATTTATTTTGAGACAAAATTTCTCACTTGTCTGGAACTTGTCAAGTAGGCCATGTTGCTTGGCCTGTGAACTCCAGCAGTCTTCCTATCAATGCTTCCCAATGCAGGAATTAAAAGTGTGTGCTATCACACTCAGATTATGTGGGTTCTTAGGATTAACCTCAGGTCCTTATTCTTACAAGGCAGGTGCTTTACCAACTATACCAATTCTCTATCCCTATAGATAGTCAATTGCCCTTCAAATCCTAAATTCTCATAGAATTTCTTCTTTTTTATTTTACTTTTTTTTTTATTATTTTACATATCGATCCCAGTTTCCTCTCCCTCCCATCCTCCCATGCCCCCACCCCCTTCCATCCTACGCCTCCCCCACCCTACAGTGAGGGTGATGCCTTCCAGGAGGGATTATCAAAATCTGTTAAGTTATTTGGAGTAGGGACTAGGCCCTCCCTCCTGCCTCTAGGTTAAGGGAGTATCCCTCCATGGGGAACGTGCTCCCAAAGTTCTTTTCTGTACTAGGGATACATCCTGGTTTCACTGTCAGAGGTCCCATAGACTGCCCAGGCCTCATAACTGAGACCCATGTTCAGGGGTTGTGGGTCAGACCTGTGCTGGTTTCCCAGCTATCAGTCTGAGGTTCATAACCTCCCCCCTTGTTCAGGTCAGCTGTCTCTGTGGGTTTCTGCAGGCTGGTCTTGACCCCTTTGCTCATCACTTCTCCCTCCCTGCAACTGGGTTCCAGGAGTTTGGCTCAGTGTTTAGCTGTGGGTCTCTGTTTCTGTTTCCATCAGCTACTGGATGAAGGCTCTAGGATGGCATATAAGGTAGCCACCAATCTCATTATAGGGGAAGGGCATTTAAGGAAGCCTCTTCACTATTGCTCAGATTGTTGTTGGGTAATCCTTGTAGATCTCTGAACTTTTCTCTAGTGACATCTTATGTTGCCGAGTATGTGGTCAATGTTAGAGAAGGTTCCATGTGGAGTTGAGGAGAAGGTACATTCTTTTGTGTTTGGATGGAATGTTCTATAGATGTCTGTTAAACCCAATTGGGACATAACTTCTGATAGTTCTTTTGTTTCTTTGTTACGTTTCTGCTTGATGGTCCTGTCTAGTGGCGAGTGTGGTGTTGAAGTCTCCACTATGACTGTCTGAGGTTTTATGTGAGATTTGAGTTTTGGTAATGTTTCTTTTATGAATGTGGTTGCCTTTGTATTTGTGGCATAGATATTCAGAATTAAGACTTTGTACTGATGGATTTTTCCTGTGATGAATATGAAATGAACTTTTTCATCTTTTGATTGATTTTGGTTTGAAGTCTGACTTGTTAGATATTAGGATAGCTACACCTGCTTGCTTTTTGGGTTCATTTTATTGGAAGTTATTTTCCCAACCCTTTACTCTGAGGCAGTGTCTGTCTTTGAAGCTTAGATGTGTTTCTTGTATGCAGCAGAAGGATGGGTTCTGTTTCGTATCCATTCTCTTAACCTGTTTCTTGTTATAGGCAAGTTAAGGGAAAGTAGGGACCATTGATTGTTAATTCTTGTTTGTTTTAGATTTGTTGTTGGCAGAGGTATTGTGAGTATATTTGTCCTGATTTTTCTTTTCGGTTCTGGTGAAGTGGGATTATCTATTGCCTATGTTTTTGTTAGTGTAATTAACTTCCTTGGGTTGGAGTTTTCCTTCTAGAACTTTCTGCAGGGCTGGATTTGTGGATATGTTTTGTGAAGAATCTGGTTTTTTCATGGAATATCTTGTTTTCTCCATCTATAGTGATTGAGAGTTTTGCTGAGTATAGTAGCCTGGGCTGACATCTGTGGAGTCTTAGTGTTTATAGAATATCCATCCAGGACCTTCTGACTTGCAGAGTTTCCATGGAGAAGTCAGCTGTAATTTTGATAAGTCTGACTTTATATATTGCCTGCTCATTTTCCTTCACTGCTCCTAATAGTCTTTCTATATTCTGTATACCAGGTGTTTTGATTATTATGTGGTGAGGAGACTTTTTTTGATCCAGTCTATTTGGTGTTTGGTATGCTTCTTGTACTTTCATAGGCATGTCCTTCTTCAAATTGGAAAGTTTCTTCAATGATTTTGTTGAATATGTTTTCTGAACCTTTGAGCTGGGCTTCTTCACCTTCTTCTATACCTATTATTCTTAGGTTTGGTCTTTTCTCAGTAGCTGCCCTGAGTGCTGTGTATTATTAGTATTAGCTATATATGCTATAACATACCAGTTGAGCATGTTTTCTTTAATGGTTTCTTTATACAAGGTAATGGATGTGATTCAAACCTTGGTTCTCTATAGTTTGATTCAGATAGTTGGATGTGGGGGCTATCTTTCCTGACACGTTTATGGTCTTGCTTAGATCAAAGGAAGAACTATCCGTGTGGACCATGTGTCAAACTACCGGGCTCCTCAGGAATCAGAAGATCTGGATGATGTGACCAGAGAGCTCCAGGAGAAGGGCTGTGGGGCTAATACACCTCCATCAAGTTCTCCTGAGGTGTCTGAAGATGAAGATGTTAAGCCCACAAAAAAGCACAAAAAAGGTAGAATGTTAAAACTCAGTAAAAATTCTGTATATCTTAGTGTCTTCTTTTCCAAGCATGCATAGATATTCAAGAATCCACTCTTAAGTGGAATATGGGAAGATGTGAGCATCCTTATTTTATTGGGGAAAGCAGAAGTGTCTGAGGAAGGAAGGCTAGTGGTGTGGGCAGAATTTTATCTCCCTAACTTGTTATGTTGTCATCCTAACCCTTCTGTATCTCAAAATGAGGTTGTATTTGGAGTTACAGTGCTTCTGTGTTGGGTTGTCTTGGACAGCTTGACTTATCAACAGTGACAGGTGTGCAATTTGATTCTTGAAGACATTTTCCAGGAGGTATATAACCTGTGACTGCTTCATTTGCCACCTGGGATATTTTTCACAAATGTATTCTCCATCTGCTATCATGGGAATGTTTTGGAACGTTTCAGTTTTATGTGATTTACTGAGAGAAGAAAGGCACATTTTAAAGAGATTCCTTTGTGTTTTCTTTTTCTTATTGATTGTTCCCCTCCCCCAAGACAAAAAAGAGAAAAAGAAAAAAAAGAAAGAAAAAGAGAAGACTGAGCACAAGGTACGAGCAGAGCTGCCCTCCTGCTCTTTGTCCTCTGGAAGCAAGACAGTAAAGGAAAAGGATGACCATGGCCCAAAGAAGCACAGCAGCGAGACCTCAGAGAAAGCCCAGAAGTCGGAATCCAGAGAGGGGAGGAAGAAGCACCCAGGCTCCCCTGATATGAGGAGTCCCTTCCATGGTATAGCAGAGGACCCCGAGTGGGAGCCAAAGAAAGAGAAACCCAAGCATGAGCATAAGTCCTCGAGCAGGAAGGAGGGAGAAGAAAAGAGCAGAGATAAGGAGAGAGGGAGGAGCTCAGGTACTCATTCCAGCAGGCATGGTGGGCATTCTGAAGGGCGGAGTCATAGAAGTAGAAGCAGGAGTCATAGAAGTAGAAGCAGGAGTCCTGATAAGTCCCATAGGCATAAAAAGCATAGGCACTCCTGGGAGCGGGAATCCTTCCATGTCAGTGACCGTAGACATTATTGAAGTCCTGCCAGCTGGCCAGTTCTTTGAAAATGAATTTTGTTGCATAAATATCAAATTGTCTTTGTTGTTATTTTTATATGTAAAGTTTTGGGGCTGAATTCTTTCAATCCCTTATATGACAGAGTTGTTCAGAAGGGTATAGTTTCAACCCAATCCACTGTCCCTGGGAATAGTTGGTACTGACCAGAGTATGTGCCTAAAATTTGGTTCACAGATTTGGCCTATCGACTTCTGATTTGAGATTGTTGGGAAAGGCAAACACAAGGCAATGATGGAGTTCTAGTCTTCATGTTAGAGATTTGAGTTCAGTACTGTAGGACCTTACCAGATGGCAGGAACAACTGTAGAAAGCCACAGCTTATGAGATTTGGAGAGTGTAATATGGATATGATAGGATTTTTTTTCAAGACAGGGTTTCTCTGTGTAGCTTTGGAGTCTGTCCTGGCACTCGATTTGTAGACCAGATCCATCTGCCTCTACCTCTGGCTCCCAAGTGTTGGGATTAAAGGCATGCACCCCCCCCCCCCAGTGTGATAGGATTCTTAAGGCCAGCCAGTTCCCTCTCCTTTATATTTCGTGTTTGTTTTGTCATGTCTGAGATGGAACCCAGGTCATTGCACCTGCTAGGAAAGTGCTCTATTACTCAGCTCTAGCCCAGTTCCCTTTATTTTGTTTTTGGTTCTTGATGGTTACATATATCTCTAGGTATTTTTTTTTCTTTGTAACTTATTTGTTTGTCTTGAGATGAAATTCATATAAAATAAACTGTTTTAAGCAATTCAGTGGCACTTGGTCCATTCAGTGTTGGATTAAAACCATTTTTCATGTAGTTTTAAATCGTTTATACCTTTCTCTATTGTCCCTGTCAACCATAAAGAGGCTTTTGTTTCTATGGGCTCACTTGTTTCCTAGTTTCCTCTACTCTGTGACAAAATTTCAAAATGCCTGATGAAAGCAGTTTAAGGAAGAATTTGTTTTATTGTGTCTGTATGCTTGTGGAGGCTACTGATCAACTTTTGAGTGTCTGTCACTGTCTGCCTTTCTTTTGAGACTGCACTGAGACAGATGATCGGGTTAAAAAGCTCAGGGCCAGAAATTCAAAGAACTCCTTAAAGTGCTCCACACAGTGGAAGCAGAAGTGTCATTGCCAAACTCTGTTTATGAGGGTACAATTACATTGGTACCCAAGCCACACAAAGACTCAACTAAGAAAGAGAACTACAGACTAATATCCCTCATGAACATTGATGCAAAAATACTCAGTAAAATACTATCAAATGGTATTCAAGAACACATCATAGAAATCATCCCAGATGACCAAGTAGGCTTCATCCCAGGGATGGTTCAACATACAAAAATCTATCAATGTAATCTACCATATAAACATATTGAGACATTTTTCAACCCTTATTTTATCTTATAGTTTGAGGGGATACTGTCTGTCGTGGTGAGGAAGACATGTAGCAGCAGCCTGAGTTAATATACATGGTCATATTGTATACTCAGGAAGCAGGGAAAGATGGTATTGATGCTCAGTTCACTTTCTCACTTTTCCTTTTATCCAGTTCAGGATTTTAGTCCGTGGTGATACCACCCACATTCAGGGTGGGTCTTCCCTTTTAAGCCGCTCTAGAATTATCATAGACACACCCAGCGGTATGTTTTCTAGGTTGTTGATGAAGATTAAATATAACATCTGTTTTGAGTGTTTTGTTTAAGTGAAATTATACGGGAGTGGTCTTTTATTGTCTTCCTTTAATCTAGTGTGTTTTCAAAGCTGACATTGTATAGCATGTTGGCAGTACTTTTCATGGCTGCATAATAATGAAGAGATACATGGTTTTTATTCATGGATGGGCATTTGGTTCTTACTGTTTGACTAATCATTATGCTCAGACATATCAGACTTCCTTCTACACATTATTTAAGTCACCTCTTTGTTAGGATGGGAATTTGTTATGTCCATTGCCTGATGGGAGATGTCATTCTGTAAATATGTTTCTCATACTGGTTAATGAATAAAGCACTGTTGGCCAATAGGAAAGCAAGATAGGTGGGACTAGGAGACAAGGAGGAAAGAGGAAGTAGTAAGGAGGAGTCAAGATTGAGAGATGGGGAGAGCCCATTCCCTGGTAAGATGAAACCATGTGGAAATACTTAATTAACAGAAATGGGTTAATACTTAAGACAGAGCTAGCCGATAAGAAACTAGTACCTGGCCAACAGAATTATATCAAATACAGGGTCTCTGTGCATTATTTGGGGCTTTCACGGCAGTGGGACAAGACCAGTGGCGGGCGGAAAAACCTACTCCTTACAATTGCCTATCTAGTCTGATTAGCACTTCCTGCTTATTTTTCTTCTTTAAAAAGTTTTAAGGAGCCGCTGATGGCTGAACATAACTTTAATCCCAGCACACAGGAAGCAGAGGCAAGAGGATCTCTGTGAGTTCAAGGCCAGCCTACTCTACAGAGCTATACAGAGAAACCTTGTCTTGATAAACCAAAAAAAAAAAAGTTTTAAGATTGAAAATATATCATGTTTCCGTTGTACTCCTCCCTCCATGACCTTCCATGTTCACTCAAATTCATAGCCTCTTATTCTTTAATTATTACTGTTACATATAAATATAATTATATCATTTCCTCCTGTTCCATTCTTCCCTCCATGACCTCCCATGCCCATTCAAATCATAGCCTCTTGCTCTTTAATTATTACTGTTACATATAAACATATCATTTAACCCTGTTCTAGTCTTCCTCCCATGACCTCACATGCCCATGCAGATTCATAGCCTCTTATTCTTTATTTATTACTGTTACATATAAATATGTGAATAATTATATAAATGCCACTTGTTGAGCTTGTTTAGTGTTGGCTTGTATGTTTATGTCTTCGGGCTGATGGTGGGTTTGGATGAACATTTAAAGGACTTATCCTTGGGGAAGATTAATTTTCTCTCAGCAGTCTTTAATTGCCCAAAGCTCTTCATACACATTGGCAAGTCAACTGATGTTGTCATTCAGATCTTTTAGCAGTCATATCACTGTGATTTCACTAGTGTAGGTTCCCTGTCATGTCTAAAAGACATAGTCCTTTTGCAGCAGACTTCCTAGTCCTCTGGCTCTTAGAATCTTTCTACCCCTTCCTCTGCGATGTTCCAAGCCTTAGGTATAGGGTGTGTGCTGTAGATGTTTCAATTGGGACTGGGTACCCTATATGGGCAGTAATTATCTGCAGTTTGACAAGTTCCTACTTTGTATAATTATCTCTACTGTGACAAGAGCTTCTTTGATGAGGAGTGAGAGCTACACTTAACTGCGTTAAGTTTCCGTTTCATTGAAAATAGTTTTTTTTTTCTCACATACTCTATCCTGCTTACTGTCTCTGCTCCCTCTTCTCCTGCCAGTTCCTATCCTACTTAATCCCATCTGGATCCATTCCCTTTCTTTCTCTCATTATAAAACACTCATTTAAGGGAAAACAATACAATGAAATATAATGAGACGTAACAAAAACTCATTGGAATTGGACAAAACAAAGGGGAAAGAGTTCAAGAGAAAGCACAAGAAACAAAGTCCCACTCATTTGCACACTCAGGGTTCCAATAAAAACGCTAAACTGGAAGCCATAATACATACAAAAATGACCTGGTAGACGGTGCAGGCCCTGTGCATGCTCTGTCTCTGTGAGTTCATGAGAGTTTTGCTTGTGTTGATTTAGAGAGCCTTGTTTTCTTGGTGTCTTCCATCACCTCTGGCTCTTACACTCATCTTCTGTGGGGTTCCCTGAGCCATGAGTGTGTTGTGGGGGTATCCACCAGAGAAGACTACTCAGATGTAGGTTTAAACCAATAGAAAGTCTTTATTAGCTGGCCACTGACTGCACTGGCTATTTAAGATCCCAGTGGAGTATCTAACATTTCTCAGGATTTCTGAATCTTCTTTGAATCCCCCATGACAGTGCCCCTTACCAGCAGGAAGTAGTTTGGAAAGAACAACGCCCAAATTCCCAAATATTGTGTATAAATGTTTGTTTTCATTTAATTGGACTTTGTTATATAAAATAAAATAAATTATTAAAAAACAAGTAAAAAAAAAAAAAAAACATTTTCAGTTAAGAAGAACAGTTAGCCTGAAGTAGAACTACAGAAACCAAAAAACAAGGTTAGTATAGTACATTTGAGGTCTTTGTTTTCATTTTGGTAGGTGGTGCTATCTACATGCTGAATTTTACAGTGTGAATGATAACTTCTATTATGGCATCAGTTGTGCTAAGGTCTAGGCCCCTGTTACATTCCCCACTGGTCTTAGTGAATGAGTCAAATCGTGGACTCATTCTACTCTAAAGATGTGTAGTTGTCCTAAGGACCATTAATTTTACTGATAGATAATTGGCCATATAGTTTAAGATGCAGGTTAATCCAATCAGAATGAGAATTAAAGGCCCAGTCAGTGCTGATAGTAGATTAGTCAGGGGGATCAAGAGAACAGACTGGTATTAATTCTTTTCTTTATGTCTTTGCCTCTTTTGCTTTTTAAGGTTTTCCCCAACCAGGGCAAACTTTTTCTCTTAATTACTAATCAATTAACATAGAAGCAACCGGTTTGTCCAAAGGTCATACATAGTTTCCTTTATCTCATGAGAAGTAAGTTTAAGCCTCTCCAACTTTGTAGGACCGGTTCTAGAAGGGAATCTAACTGGTACTTTAATTCAGAAATGGAAACTTTTAATACTTAGGTCCTGATGAATATCAGGGCAGGGTGAATATCTCACTATACCTATTTTTTTTTTAATTCCTATCTTTTTATTTCTGAGACTGGTTTTCTTTGTGGCTTTGGAAGCTGTCCTGGAACTAGTTCCTGTTTGAAAAACATCAGACCATTAGTCAAACCATTAGTACATGGCCACCAGGTAGTCTCAGGGTTTTGGTAATATTGTTGTCATCCAGAAGAATTAGTCCGTCTAAGTCAGAATAGCAGGCCTCAGAAGAAGGAGACATGCCTAGTTTAAAGGTTTTGAATATTAGACAGGCTTCAGTCCCTTGTAAATTCTCTAATGTTAATTTAGGGTGGCCCTAGTCACAGTTTTGTCCGTCTGTGGGCTGACGGGCTGGTTAGTTCTATCCCTATGTAGTATGGTGGTGGAGATGGTGGTGTCTAAGCACAACCGCAATCCTTGTTGATTTCAGACTGGGAGTGATTAACTATCTGTCCCCCAGGGCCCCTTCCTGTGGCATAGTCTGATTCTCCACATTTTGCCTGTTTTCCAAAGGCCAAAAGCTTTCTTACAGAATTCCCAGATTTTTAATTTTATGGCCATTGGATTACATTTTTCTATTGTACATTTCTTGGGAAGGAACTTTTTTCTATAAATTCATCTGTATGTTTTAAGGAAGCCTCTGTTTTACGACCCTAATTTTTGCAGTATAAACTCCCTTGTTTCTGTCAGCTAAGGGGCCCAGCTGCAAGGCATGCATAGACTTGTAAGCTCTATACTCCTATCTATGGTGGAAAAATAAGGATGGGGAAAGCAGATAGGCTGAGTAGATGTTCATTCAGGGAGAAATAACTTACAAAAGATAAAGATGAACACCAGCAGGTTCCAGTCCCAAGGATGCCTACGGATGCTCCGTCTCCGTCCAGGAAACAAGAGGGAGTTCTGGGGATTCCCAAGCCCAGACCTAGTTCTTCCACATCACATTGGCCCCTGTCCCCCAATGGGTGTGGTCAGTGTGGCAGGTGCTG